GATCAGACCTTAGATATCAAGAAAGGCTAGGGCTGACAGGGAATGGGTCCCTAGTTAGTAGTAACTACCTCTTCCATAATCAATCTTCCAACTCCGTGCGGATCTGCTTCTTTGCTAAGTGCCTCCATCACCTCAACCAAAGCCCTAAGGTTTGCAATTACTTTCTTCGCTTCAGAATATCTGAGCTCCAACCTGAAGTCAAAGATATCTAAAACCATTAATCAAATACTACAAAAAAAAGAGGCTGTTAAACGTTTTAAAAAATTTGTTCTTCCAGATGCACAAAAGCTTAACAACTTTTCAAGATCCAAAAGGACAGCCTATATAAACCAACTGGATCTTAGACACAGTCTTCAAATCATAACTTAAGAAAAAACTCCAAGAATATAGAAAAGGAACATACAGAAACAAGGTTTATACCTATATTCTATTCCATGCAATTACATCACTAGCCTACCATGTGGCAAATATTTAGTTCATGTAAATTGGACGAAGATTCACAATGATAAGATGTCAAACCAGTTACAACCAAGGAACGAGGAAATTTGACAAACAAGTAAATTTGATCTTCTCACTGCCCCATAATAAAAATAATAAGAAACCATGTTCATATACCATATATTTTTATATTAGTATACTTTATTGTCAACTAGTAAAATAAAATTTAAAAAGAAGAAGAAGAAGGAGCAGAGCAGAGGAGAACACAGAAGGAAATGTATTTCAAAACTGCTTTCACATGATAATCCATGGGCAACATCATGTTTTCAAACAGCAGGAAAAATATTTTTCAGAAAACAGCTTGGATTATTAAAGAGGTCTCAAGCATTTATAGTAGTATCTTCTTCTTTACAGATCCACTTCTTTGGCCTACAATCATCCAAATCATTAGCATTAGGTAGGGAGAAATGGTATTCTTAAAGTGCAATACTCCTCTTGGTCTCAAGCTTAAACACGAGGGCTTTTTTCGTGGTGCACAATAAAAAAACATTATATATAGAAAAGTACTGTGCTATGAAAAAAGGTATCATAGAAAATTAAAGTGAGGGCTTTTTCAAGAAATTCTGAAAAAAAAATGGAAAGAAAATAAATTTCATCAAAGAAGACCACTGCAAAAGTCTGAGATGGATCGAAATAAGAACTGAGCACTGAGTTCAAACTTAAATAACAATTTCTCTTCATTTATTCACAGAAAATATTGTACTGTTCCCCCTTCTTGTATATAATGTCCATTTAGAAGACAACAGGTATGACGTGATAGACATCTAAAAATTTTAAAGAAAGGATAAGGTCAGTACTCTCCCAAGTTAGCACTGACTGTTCCCGACTCCCGCCATTTCTGTTCTTCTCTTTGTATATCATCTACTCTATGTTGTCTCTTATATCGCTGGTAGAATTCCCACAGATGTTCAATATCACGATTACGATCTATAGATGCGCCATCCTTCTTTACACGTTTTTGCTGCAAAAGATCTCATGTCACTAAAGCTTTACTCACCAATTTTAACAGACAAAACAAAAAATAAATAACAATCCCACAAAACAGATAGTCCATAATACAAATGCCGAAAAGTAACCATACATGATACTAACCAATATAATTAAGAGTATTTACATAAATTGATATTAGAATCAGATTAGGCTATACCTTAATAACAGACATCAAACCAGTCTTGAACTGAAGAACACCTCTACCATCACTGTTGGGATCTAAGTTTTGTGCCATATTGTATGCCTGCTCACACACTAAATGGAAAAATAAGGTTTTAATTGCACACACATACTAAAGAATAATCCCATGATTTTAATATTTTCCATGAGATAAGCAAAAATAAGGTTGAGGAATTGTTTGATGATATATCATAAATGGAGAGAATAAATTGATAGATCTTATTCACCAAAAAAAGAACTATGGAAAAAAAACAAGGATTGTTTAATTGCAAAAGTAACATTGACCCCTGTCAGACCCGTACGATTCACTCAACCATATCTGAGAGTCAAAAAAATGAGTAGAGCAAGCATACAATTTAGTTCCAAGCTAATACTTAGGGCCAATATTCAATACATATTATACCAAAGTTGATATAATTCTTTTGGTTTTTTTTTTTTTTTTGATAACCATGCCTATCAAGGACAACAATTGCACCTCAACCATCTAATCATCTAACATTCACAATGGACAAACTTGTATTACAATTAAAATCTTAAGTAGGTGGCTACCATGATTTAAATGTTATCTAGTTTTATTGTTTGCTCCTAAGATCACTAGGCCAACCTGGGAGGGTGATGTTGACTTTATTTTTAAGTAGATAAAACTTTTCATTAAGAAATTTAACAGTTATAATAAACTTCAACAAGTATACCCATTCCTCACAAAAACCTTACAAGGTCAAGTGGATATTAGAAGATTTGATTGATGGATGTTGTAAAGATAAAATCCACTGACAATCAAGGTTATGATCATGACGGTTATATGGATATTATAGCAATCGAGGCCATCCTATTGAAGGTTTGGGAGCAGAATTGGAAAAGAAAATATGGATGTCAATTCACATACGATTTAGAACAGTTTATTGGAGGCTCTGGGAATGTACATAGTTTGTAGCAGGTCTTGTCGGTTGTAGCTGGTCTTGTTAGTCATAGCAGGTCTTGTCAGTCTATGATGGAAGAAATGTTATTTCACCCTCCTTTACATGATAGGCAAATATTTTTGCATGTTGTTTGCTTTTCAGACTTGTGGAACATTAGGCTTGAGAGAAGCTAGAGGTGGGGAGAGCTCCTGAAGGAAGGTTTGGGGCCTAACTAGATTTGATGACTTTTTTCAGATTTTTGCAACTCATTGTTTTGGTATTTTTCTTTTGTCTTTCATTCTTGTCGACGCATAGCTCTTTTTTGAAATGTTCGATAGTTGGTTTATTTTATTTTAGCTCCTCTTGTCTTGGGACTTCTAACTTTTGTATTTATTGATATTAAATGCTTGATAAAAAAAATACAAATGATGAAATTTAAAATTTTAACAGATTAGGACAAGATTTAAAAAATGAAATGACATTTACATTAGGACAAAGTTATATACGCCATACTTTATAAATAAAAGTACCATCAATGATAGCCAACGTTTGAATGTCTATTGAACAGTTTCATTCATAATAGATAGATTATCTGGACAACTGGGGCATAACAATCCTTAACCACACTCCCACCCACT